AACTGGAAATTGACCTAAGATGACATGATGTGAATTGGAGCTATAGAAATAAACTGAATTGAATTGAAAATAAAATTCAGTTTAAAACACATTTTAAATGTCTATACATGGAAGAAGGTTTTTATTGAGCTTCCCTACCTCATGGTTCCAGGTGGGACGTTTCCATTGCTTGAGTCTCTCTGCTACGCCGGTAATGAGGTGCAGATCTGCTGCTACCACCTGCCAACAAACGAACTCATCAACTTTCACAGATTCCAATCGAAAATACAAGACACGAAAGACGCCACAGGCTGACCTGTCCGCTCTCACTGTGGAGCAGGATGTTACAGATGGACTTCAGAGCCTCAACAATCACTTCTTGGTCAGGGTTTTCTGAAGGAGGGGGGGGCTCCTGTAGCAGCGCACCAGGATCTCCATCCTCCAAATCAGCCGCTTTAGAAGAAAAACTGTTTATTAGCATAACAACATACATTTTATTTATTGAACCTTTATTTAGATGCATTCTAAGTTAGATCCAGGATCACATTTCCAAAAAAAACAATTTACAAAGCAGAAACAATTAGAAATAATGAAAATATTTGTTTAGAAACTTTGTGTATTCAGAAGGATATTTGTCTTAAAGGAAAAGTCCGTTCAGCGAGGAACAATCAATTATTTGTACCTAAAACTAATATGTTTGCAGTGGTTTAATGAATTTAGAGTCAATCAGTAAAGTTATAAAAAAAAATTTGCAACCACAGAGAGATTGGGAGGCATCTAAATATAACAAGAGCATTTATGCTGCATTTTACTACACATATTGTACTTCTTATCCAAATATCCATCTTTTTTCAGTTGCTGTTAACTCCTCTTATACTTACTGACAACCAGAGGTGCCAAAATTGTTAATGTTCATTACTAAAGTAGAAGTATAAATCCTGCTGTTTAAAAACATTTTGTAGAAGTTAGAGGATCAACTTCAGCTTTTTAGTAGAAGTGTAAGATTACCATTTTTAAAAGTACTTAAAATATAAAAGTAATGCAGAAAAAACTGTTAAAGACAGAAGCTTTACCTTCTACCATATTAAATTAACTTTTTTTTTTTATTCTGGAAGATAACTTCCTTAGACTTAATTTTCTTAGTTTTATAACTAGGGGTAACAGAAATTGTCTGGATGAAATTAATTATTTTGATGGTTTTTATTTTTTATACCAAGAGGGTATAATGAAAATGAGCTTAAACGAAACAAAACTAATGATTCTTTTTTTTTAAATGTAAGGAATAGAAAGTAAAAAGTTGTAGTAGTATATATTTCTACTTAAGGTAACAAGGTATTTGTGCTTTGGTATTTGACGCCTCTGCTGAAAAATGGCTCTTTGCTTGTGTGACCCCCCCCATATTAAAGATAAGCAATTAGCTCTCTGTTTGGAGCCACTTTTAAATGGCCACTGTGGTAACCAAACATATTTATCACACTATCCATCCAACATTCATCTCTGCCATGGTTAAAATACACTTTTTTCCCTCTCTTCCTGCGGTTGCCATTGGTAACCATTAGAGGACATCGATCAGCTGCTACTATTAGTTTATCAAATCTGAAATATATCTTTATCGTGCACCACTGTTGGCGTTTGGGTGTATGCACTGTTTTAGTTTATATCCCACACATTCCTTGATAAATCAGACCTTTGCTCACCACCACCACAAAAAATAAAATAAAAAAATAAAACAGGAAGACAGCAGGTGGTTTTTTTAAGCAGGTTGTGTTCAAACATCTTAAAAAGCTCAGTTGAATTCAGGAATGCGCACAGACAGACCCCTCCATTTCCACTGGAGATCTTTCTTTCTTGATTCATTAATGTTCTATAAGAGTGAGCCTCTCTACCATCAACTCTAAAAGAGTTTTGATGTTTAAAGGATAGAGCTGCTCAGTAGAGCAGTGGGTAGCACTGCTACCTTGCTGCAAGAAGGTTCAATTCCCAGCCGGGTTCTTTCTGCATGGAGTTAGCATGTTCTCCCTGAGCATGCGTGGGTTCTCTCCGGGTACTCCAGCTTCCTCCCACAATCCAGAAACATGACTGTTAGGTTAATTAGCTTCTCTAAATTCTCCTTAGTCTCTGTGTTGTCCCGCGATCGACTGGCGACCTGTCCAGGGTGGACCCCACCTCTCACCCGTAGACAGCTGGAGATAGGCACCAGCACCCCTCGCCACCCCACTTGGGATTAGCATGATGGAAAACGGATATTTAAATGGAAATCACTTGAGCTCTACTGATAAATCTGAAGCGGGGTACTGCCTGCCCCTCCTTCCTCCTCCAGTCCTAATCCAAATCGCTGCAGCTGCCTCCTTTCTCCTCTAATCTGACAAACAAGTATTCCAAGTATTTGTGAAATTGGCACATTATTTACCACAGTAATTAAAATCATAGAGCCACCAAAAGCATAACTGGGTTTCTGACCTGGCATTTCCTTAATAAAAAAAAGCTCCATCAAGACTTAAAGGGGAAATAGAACGCAAAACCTAGTTTCCATTGTCATAGATGAATAACGATAGTTCAATGGGTGAAATGAACATACAGAGAAGTTCAAACCCCATCAACACCTCCTTTCTCTGCAAATCTCACAATTCTAAACTTCCACCATAAAACGGGCCAATCCAAACGAAGCACAGAGTTGATGTAAACTCTGGGATGTTGCCTTATTTGATTCTGACCTGTACTTTTATCACGCCCCAAAAATGACATACAGACCAGCCCGCTGGTTCACTGGCCCAAGAACATGAATAGAGGTAGATGGAAGACAGCAGCGTAGCTGTTTAGCCTACAGTTGGGTTTACTTCTACAAGAATAACAAAGCAGACAGTTTCTCTATTGAAAATGAGCCAGAACGCTGCATTTCCACCCGTGGAAATGCAGCGTTCCAGGCTGCATGGAGAAAGGGAAACATTTCCACCGTCTTCCCAACGATCCGAAGACTCAACAGGCATGGATTATTTTTGTGGATCAGAAGATCCCTGCAAAGTTTGATGCTCAGCTCTTCATTTGCTTTAAGCATTTTACCGAAGACAGCTTTCAAGATCTTGGACAGTTCAAAGCAGGATTTGCTAAACTTCTTTTACGGAAAACGAGGGGCTGTTCCCTCCCTAAGGCCATCACAACTGCCAGCTGGAAGGATGACTCTGGTGAGCTTTGATAAAGCTTAAAGTTAGAGTGGCTCAGATTATCCTGAGCTATCTATGTAGATACGGTATGCTGTTATACCCTTAGACTGCCGGAGGACAAATCATCCCTCACTCTGCTACATTCTATTACTCTTGTGAAACCGGTCCCTCGTTGTTTTAAGGAAATCTAATCTTGTAGGAGCAAAGATGCTGATGCCACACAAGCTTCTTCTATATGTGGCAGCCTGACTATGGTGGTAATAGAAATAATAACCAAATAATAATAATTACCTTTGCTCTCCTCCAATAAGCCTTGATTAGTGTGAGCAGGCTGGTCAATGGCAATGCCTGCGTAGCGGGCGAGAGTGAGCATGGCTGAGCGGCCGATGAAGGGATCCAAGCAATGCTTATCTCTGGTCAGGATTCGAACCGTTTCTAGACACGCCAGCAGACAGGAAGGTTGCAGCTCTCTGTTAAGGAAGTTGAGCAACAGCTCTCCCAGATGCTGTTTAACAAAAACAATCAAATCAGATGTTAGAAGTAGCAATCGGCCACAAACTTCATTCTTATCGTTCAGAAATAACCAAAATAAAATCCTCCTTACAATGTGAAACTTGAATCGGATCAAAAGGCTTTAATAGAAACACTATGCAGCAGAGGAAAAGTATTTGCTCCTTTAAATGCTGATTCATGCTGGCGAATATGAAGATAAATATTACCATAGGATTTCATTTCACAAATTATCATCCAGTTAACATGACAATATAAAATAAAACATAAAAAAAATATACAAATTTGTTAACAACAAACTTTTCTTTTTTTTAATCTCAGAAAAGTAATTGCTGTAAAAAAAAATATTAATTTACAAATATATATATGAAAAATAAACAATGGCTTCACACGCTAAAGTTGATCGAGATGTTGTTTTTCTTTGATAAATAAATAATATTACATTTTATTTCAAATGTGCCTTTCTGGACACTCAAGGTCACCATAAAAAAGATAAAAACACAATAGCAGAAACAAAGTCAAAACACAGA